TTTATAAGATTTTCATCTTCTTGATTATTGCTTTTTCTGGGCCTACCGGAACCAACTTTACTACGGGATACCGTTTGGTTGGTTTCCCATTGTTTTTTAACACTCATTATCGTGGTTTCACTCACATTGTATTCAGCAGCAAGTCTTCTTATGGACCAACCATCTTCAATTTTAGAAACAATTCGAAATTTTTGAATATCTGTTAGATGTCGAACCATTTTTAATAATGACGCCACTGATTAACGTCAAAGTGACATTTGTAAGATTATTAATATCAATCAAAGAACGAATGATTTACATAGCTAAAAGAAAGTGTACCAGTTTGTATTGAAATCAAGTGTACCCACTTTATAACAAATAAGTAAATTTGAGATATCTCTAGAATACACACGCCACTGTTGTTTACGCAAATCGCAACGTGGTTCCTAAGTGCCCGATTCCCCCTCCCGCAAACGAGTCCAGTGTATGCAAGTGCATCCGTGTTTCCGAAATATCATGCGAGATGGCAGCTATTATCGGAATATAGATATGCAGTTTTTAGTTTTCTAATAAATTTATTTTCAACTAATCCAAGAGTTGGGTCACATGAATATAAACGTTACAAACAGTGACTAATGTCGGAATGTTAAAAAATTTGGATACAAAATATTTAAAATGCATGCGAAAATTTTTTGACGGTTCTAAAAAAAAAAAATTACATTCCGACATTTTATACATATTTTTGAAAAATCTTGTAAAAATCGCACTCAAATCGGATAAGTTTTAAACGAGATATTCGAGAATTATGATTTAATAGGGTATATAAGACTCTTAAGTGGTAAATTTAATAGATCGCAATATTAAATCAAGAAAGAAAAGATTTCAGTCAACATCAAATATTTATTGATTCAAGTAATTCATCAATAAATTTGTTTAAATAATATAGTTGTTGAACGAAATGACATATTTCTTATATTAAGTGTTCAATGTAAACAGATCGCAATATCTCTACTTTTGAACTGAATCGATGAAATCTTAGATTAGATTAATAATAAGTTAGTATTGAATATTGTTCGAAACTTCCTCTTAGCTGAAGTAGAACCATTATTCTAAAGTTAATAATTAGTTATCATTAAAAGAAGGAGACTTAAATAATGACTTTTAAGTATAACGTTTTCCTTGATGGAAAAATATCTATTCTTGCGGATATATGAGTACAATAATGTGTTAATTTAAGAACAGTAGTCTTAAATATAGTTTAGATTTTTTTAGATTATTAGATTAGATTAGATTTATCTAACTATAGTATTTATATGTATAAGATAATTTAATTGTACTAGAATCTTTCATATCGTACTAATATTATTATTAGGGTTTTTAAAGTGTTTTTTTCTTTTTTGTAGTTCGATTATGTTTTTTTTTGTCCTTAGTGATATCCTTACGCGTCCTGATTCGTTTGAGGCGTTCAGACCGTTAAAATATCGAGCGGTATTCTTTTTGTAATAATCGTGTGAAATATCCATTAAATTGGGAGTAATATTACAAAAATTACTTTAAAAAATTGTTAGGAATATTTTCTATTTTTGCGTATTTGGTGATTCCTGCAATTATCGTTTTATACTGATTCGTTATCAGCACAAAAGAAACACGAGAACCAACCGTCAGACCAGTTTATGAAAATTCAAAGGAGCCTTCTCTAGGTGTAGAAGTGAGTAACTATTTTTTTTACCTTTTAGTTATGTAATAGGAACCATTACATAACTAACTTTATTTCAGGGCTTTTTTCTTTTTTTTTCCTATTTTCAAATTTTAATTCTGTAAAAGGTTACTGTTTATGTTAATCTCAGTTATCCTGAATGGGAACATCACTCGTCGATTTTTGCAAGCCACATCATTATCAAGGAATTTTGCTTTGCACCCTGTGATAGACTTACCTGGCAAATGTTTTACATCCTTATCGTCCAGATTATTGCTGTTTTATTCCTACAACCCCTCCGTGGAGTCATAACCATTCGTATTGTGTAAACTACCCTCTACGCTGCAAGAACACAGCTATGTGCGAAATATAATATAGATATTATTTTTTTTTGCCATTAGTAATATAGTAGCCACTATTCTTTGATAAGAAAATCTACTATTTAACTGTTTAAATATTTTGGGTGACAATACCTACAATTTATTATATAAGAATATTTTATTTATATTTAAGTTCCATTAACGTTATGATTTGAATATCCCTGCGGAGCCTTATGTATGTTTTGGTTATTTGCAAATATTTTTGATTTCTAAGTGTCGCAACATTTAATTTGTACGAAATTATTATAACTGCCTGTACCGACGAAAGTGATAACAATTCGCCTACAGAATCTTTTATGTATGTATATTTTATTGGGATGTATATATTTATATAAGAGTTGGGTTTGATACCCCTTACTTTATTAAATTAGTATATAATTTTCGCTAATTAATTATTATTATCTAATTGTTTTGTTTTAATTTGTTTATTACTTAATATCTCCCCAGTACAATTAATTATTCAGAGAACCATCCTTCTTATCCACTCCTCCGCCGACTAGTTGGCCGGAGTGCGTGGCTACCATCGCCGCTCACTAAAAACTAATTTTTTTGTTGCTGCAGCCTATTACGTATGAAAATTTATATAAAGGTGAACATTCACTTTCACTTTATTCACTTTTTTATTAAAAAATAGGTGATACATGATATTTTTATTATTTGAAGTTGGGACAGTAGCTGGGGTAACAGTATTTTAATGCTGAAAATTTGAAATAAAAAAAATATATTATATCACCCAGTACATTTTCAGTTCAATAACTTTTGGTACAGCGTTTCTTACGTATAATAAGAATGTCCGAATGCTGTGCGAGAAATGCAATCAAATATTGCAATCTCATACTGAAATCTTAAGAGTACCATCTGCATTTTTAACAAATTGTGCTTTTAAGATAAATCACTAAAACGAAACTGGTATAGCCGCTTTATATTTATTATACAACAGAAATCGGCAAATACAGCTATACATAAGACACGTAACGAAATTTATATACCTCCTTACATAACATGTTTAAAAAGTGATATGCCAAAATCTGAGGATTTAAGTACATATACGTTCTTATTTATTTTTTAAGTTTTTTTAAATGCTCGGTGATTTGTACTCTTTTATTACAACACCACTGCACACCTCTTTGTTATGTTACCATCGATTTTTTTTAATGGTAACTCATTTTTATTACGCTTTGCGAGAGAAACATTTTTCTACGTGAGACTATACTAGGTGAAACTCATACAAGGCGAAAGCCTATTATAGGCTATAACAGCTTATTTATTTTTTTAATAACCTCACTTTTTCCGTTGTTAGTGAAAACAATAAAGCCTCAAAAGCTCGGGCAGAAATAAAGAACGTTCTCAGTGAAATTACATTACAACCGTACAACCGTTCTTGAAAATTTAAAATCGGCTAGAAGATGGTCTAGTGGACCATCTTTTATCCGATTTTCAATTGTCTGCTAGCAGCCGATTTTACTTTTACCCATTAAAGGCCATGGAACAGAACTCTAAAGGAAAATTTGGGCAAGTTGATCTAGGAATAAGTCTAAAACATTACACAGGATATTTTCAAACGGCACTGAAAATATACCTATGAAAAGTGCTATTATATTTAAAATGCGATTTTTAAATTACAACATCCATATTTTTTTTTATATAGTTTTGAAGGGAGATAAGCAAACTTGCAGATAAAAAAACATAGAGACTTTCAAACTTGTAGATATTAGAAATATTCTTAATAAAATTTCATTTGATTTTCATAATTTATTAAATAATACAAAATTTATAAATACCCATAAGAGTTAAAACATTTTAAATCACTAAAACTAGCCAAATAATTAAAACAGCTGCTAGATATGTCCCTCGTTTTCAGTTTGACATAATCTTACTTGGCTGATAAGTTATTTTAAAACATTAATACACCGTCTTAGAGTTATCTGATCTGCCTTCGCCTTCCAAATTCTTTCTTTTAATTATCTGCAGTATTAATTTGCGCGTCGTACACTTTATTTTTTAAGAAGGTCCAGTAATGGTAATCTAGGGGAATGTGGTCCAGGAACTGCGCAAACAGTCTTACCGAACCATCAGTCCCAATCCATCTATTTGGGAAACGATCTTGACGGTAATCTGTCCTTCCATTGTACGGTGCCGCACCCTTTGTTGTAAAAAAATTGTTGTATTTCGAATTATGTTAGAAATCCATCAATTTCATTTTGTAGATATTCTAAACACCATCAGTGAATGTTCCTTCAAATAAAATGAGTCCTACTATGGGTGTGCCTAAGATACTTCAAACAGTAAGTACAAAATGTTATTGATGATTAACTTGCCTCATTATATGAGGATCATCAGAGCCCAAATCTTATTTATTCTGGTTAGGCATACTGAAGCTGATAAACGTGAATTCATCAGAAAAGTCGTTATCTTGGGCATAACTTTGTAACGGCCAATCACAAAATTGTACTTTTCTCTCCTCTCCTCTCCTTAAAACAATACTTATGGTTATTTACACCTTTTCGCATTTGCTGCCTAACTCTTACAAAGTAATTTATTTCTGTCTGAATAGTTTCTTTCGGGGTAGCGTTGAGCATACAATGTCACGGTCTCAGGTCCATTTTTTTCTACATTTGCAAAATATTAGTAACATCCACTTTCTCATTTTGTGAATAATGGATGTTTCCCATTGTAACATAAACGCAAAATTAATTATTATTGCCTAGATTGCACTACATAGTCACCTGTGCCCTAACTCACAAAAAAGCGTAATTTGTGTTTGCTTTTGATAACAATAGATATTTAATTAATTAAATTAAACACCACCTGTAATACAACCCCCTGTATCCCTGAAAGTACATCAAGGTACCTTGTGCGGGAGAGGGCTACACATTTACGGATAGTGGACACACACACTCACTGTCCGAGTATGCTAGGATTAGTTACTGGTTTAGAACAAATCCAGCACCTCGATCTGGGATCAAACCCGGGACTCCAGGGCGAGAGGCAAGTGTCTTTACCACTCGACCACGAAGCCACATTAAATAATTTTGAAAAAGTGTAATTTAAAACAACAGCGTGTAAAGAAATTAATCGATTAAATATTTCTTATTTATGAATTGATAAAAAATCTAAATCATAGTTTTTCATATCAAGGCCAACTTATTTACTAACTCTACAAAAGTACTGAATATGATTTACAGGAAACAACTACCCAGCGGACAAAGCCCCCACCTGCATTGAATTAAACCTGCAAGTCTTGTTTGGTAGCTAAGATCATTTGTCAATTCCTCACTAGACATATACCGGTTTCGAACTTGTTATGTTCTCGTCAGTATGCCATAAGTAATGGAAAAGACAAATAATAATAGCAAACCAGGCTAGCCTAAAGCAGCCTAAGCAAGACAGACATAGTGAGTGATAAGTGTATCCCTCTGGTGGTCTGTGCTACTACCCGTCAGACATCACTGATGTGTTAGTGACTGATAGCGATCTCTAACCCTGGTGGGCTACTGATGGGCATACTGACGAGAACATAACAAGTTCGAAACCGGTCTATGTCTAGTGAGCATCTGACAAATGATCTTAGCTACCAAACTTGCAGGTTTAATTCAATGCAGGTCGGTGCTTTTGTCCGCTGAGTAGTTGTTTCCTGTCAATCTTATTCAGTATATAGTTTAGCTCACCAGGGTTAGAGGTCGCAGCTTTTGGTACCTGCTTTGAAGGTCGCTATCAATCACTACGACATCAATGATGTCTGACGGGTAGTAGCACTGACCGCCAGAGGGATACACTTATCACGCACCTTGTCCACAAAAGTATACAAAAAATATGGGTGTTGGATAAAATCGGTTTTAACTAATTAACCTTCCTGTAGTAGCCGGTAATACAGTTGATTAAACCTTTTGTCTAGCAACCCAAAATAAGGGTAAGATAAAATGCGCATGTTGTATATTTTTATTGAATACTAATTTTCTTATGTCTTTTTAATTTGAAAAAATATACAAGCAGTTTATTTACACCAACGTTATGCCAAACTCAAACGCTTATCTACTATTTCAAAGCCATATTACCTCTGGGTTGATCTCCCTATATTAGAAAAGTTCTTTATAGTTCATGAAAAAAATGTCAAATTCAATTTTAATACGGGTTTTTTAAATGTTTTTATTAATTTTCGTAAAGTTGATATTTTAGACTTCCCTCTGTTAATAAATCCGCAATATTAATTTATTCTGTTGTTATAAACTTTAAATATGGTAACAAATTAGTAAATTCTAACTGGTACTTTAGCAGACGTCATTCTAGATTAATCTATTGAGCCCATTGTGGTTTTTACCCTGTATAAACCATTTTATATAGCGACTGCATCTTTTCTTGTTAAATAGGCAATTTAAAGACCGAGTCTTTGCACTTAAGGAATGAGTGAGGTGTTTAGCAAGCAACAATTGCGTTTTCAGGCATTCAGCCTTGTTCGAGGGACGATCGAAAAACCGTAAAACCTCTGCTACATGTTCAGGTGCGTCAGCGAAGCGACTTTCGAGGGACTGGGAATATAAGTAACTAATTGTTCAGCGAATGTTGTGAGTCGTTTTGATTCTAAAAGGTCGTTCAAGTTAGATATCCAAGAGCATTCTCGTTTTCTTAATTGTTATAATCATATTTAATCTTATTAAAATGTTTTCTTAACCGCCTCTCAAGTCACCGAAGTAACTCCCAGAAAATCCTATGATTCTATGTCGAGTAAAGAGAGACGGGGCCCTACAGTTTATTGTGGAATCCGCACCACATCTGGGGCATCGACAGTTCTCGCCCGTCTTAATCCGAAACAAATTACAAATAAAATTTCTGACTTGCTCCGAGATGGATTCGAGCCATTGATATTCGGTACCAAGTAAATAGCTATAAGCGCTTTACCTACTCAGCTACCATGTCCCATTATTAATAGCATTTAATCTTATTATTAATAGTAAATACCGATTTTTGAAATTATGTGAATTGAAAAGGCCTTTAGAATGTGTGTACTGAATTGAAACCTTCATCTCAATAACTGACTTCTATCGTGATACAGACACAAATACAGTTTTTTGTTGATACCGTGTTCTTTTTGCCATACTTCGTCGAGAAATGCAATAAAAAAAAAGTAAAAATTTTTCGCGCATGGTACGTCCTTTCTCACTTGAAAACAGAAGAAGCAACCACTAGCTAGAGGTACCTCGGGGCATTTCTATTGCCAAGAAAGTATCAAGAAAATAATCTAAAAAGTAGTAAATAAAAATATACCATGACTTCGAGGTCATTAAAATACACTCTAAATATATGTTTATAAAACGTCTCTATGAATAACACGTAAATACGTTAAGATGGCTAATCGAATCAGTGTTTGTAAGGTAATTTTTCAAAATTTATTTCTTCCATACGGTTTAGTCAAATTACACCAAATTTGGAGGATCAGTAGTTGAAAGTGTACTAGAGGGTACATGTATATCTATTTTAATTAATTTTTACTTTATGTAGGGAAAATTTATACTGTAAATATAAGTGAAATTTGAACATGATTAGCTCCTGAATTATGATATCAATCGGTAAAATTCGAGGTAAAATTCATACATGTTTTCTAGAATGAATCTTCATAATTATGCTCAGCAAGTTTCAAACTTTTATTTCGTACTATTTGGTTAAAATGAATTTTCTAAATAAGTATCTTTGTCACTACAAATGGAGCAAGGAAGTGTTACCTCTATCGGGAATCGCACCTCAATGAAGTTGTTGAATAAAACGTCCAGTGAAGGTATAGTTAAGAGCAAAATCATTCAGCGGCGCATATATAAAAACTTTCTAGACACAGCTATCCGAAGCTTTTTCCCGACTAGGCCCCTTAAGAGTGAGAAATTAAAGACAAAGGATGTTAACTTTTTAAATATATCATTCAATTTTTGCAAACGTGTTTTAGTGGGCAGTATATTCAACTATTCTGAACTGAATGGTAAGTAGGTCTGGATTAGCGTGGATGAAACCACCAATGCTTGCGGCTGGAAGGTGGCAAATGTTTTACAGGGTGTATTAATATTAGTAATATACTTTTTTCACATCATCTTTGGTTATTATGCCACTTCTATAAATTATTAAAAAAATTTTTAAATAAACCTCTGCCAAAAGGATTAGTGAGGTTGGTTTGTGAAAAAAAATGTTGCCTATGTTGTCTCACAGCTAAAAAATATTAATCTGAAAATGAAACTTAAGAAATGTCAAATATTGAAATGTAATTTCAAAATTATATCAAATATTGAAAAAAATAATAATAATAACGAGAAAAGTCAAATTCGAAATTTTCAATTTTTGCACGAAAAAAGACCCTGCATTTTGCAGAATGTTTCAATTTTAGCAATAGTATCCTCAAAGATTTATCTAATACGCTTTCTAAAATTTATTGGATTAGGTCGAAGTTGGACACGGTATAATTTTGTAGTATTAGCCTGCATGGAGACAATTTTCAAGAAAATAATTAATAAACTAGGCAACATTGCAATCAAAGTTCATAAAATTTAATAATTGAATGGAGAAGGAAATAGTAATCTAAAAATCAAAAAATATGCGGTGTTCCGTTTTAAATAAATATAGTTTAAAAAAACTAAAAAACACGCTTTTAAAGCACATCAAACTAAAAAGTGAAAAATAATTATTGATATAAATTGAAAACAATAATGAACGAAAAATACTAGTATTATTGTGAAAAAAACGTAGGGCGCTTTGTGCCATATTTTTCGTATATCGAGCAACCCACGCTTTTTTCACAATAATACTAGTATTTTTCGTTCATTATTGTTTTCAGTTTATATTAATAATTATTTTTCATTTTTTTAGTTTGATGTGCTTTAAAAGCGTGTTTTTTAGTTTTTTTAAACTATATTTATTTTTCACTTTTTAGTTTGATGTGCTATGAAAGCGTGTTTTTTAGTTTTTTTTAAACTATATTTATATTGCTTATTGATGCTGATATAACATATTACGATCCAACAGATACTTCTGAAAAAAAATATTTTTTTTTTCAGCCATAGACGAGATTTGAACTCACGCCCGAGGAGTCCGTCGTTTCGCGTCGACTAAGACTTGTGCCTTAGCCCGCTCGGCCATCGAACGAACTGAGAATCACTGAATATACTAACAGTAATAGGCCACTTGCTCTCACGCAGAGGATACGTGAGGAAAGGAAATTATTTAATTCTGGCGATCCTGATCAGGATAATGATATAAACTTATCAAATTATTGTCTTGTTACCGGTTCTTCGTAAGTGTACAAAGTTTCAATTAAATCTGTCCGTTTAAAGTGGGTCAAAATCGAGTCCAAAGAGTCGGTTACAAACAAACAAACAAACATACAAGTGAAGCTAATAAAAGCGTGTTAAAAATGTGACTATGCTCGTCACATTTCATTGGATCGCCCTGTATATTTGCATATGCCATTTGACCCTGTTTTTGAATTATTTTTCTATCTATTCAAATAAAGTAGGTACAGAAGATTGACGCACTAATTGGACACACTATTGAATTACCCTTAAGGTACATTTACAACCAATTCGCTACAGGCACAATTTACTAACGGATTGTGAATTGTGCCGTGATAAAATTTAGGTAATTTATAATGAGTTAGAAGCTGCCATCTGTTGAGATTTTTTAATATTACGTGTGTGCAAATTCATTTTGATTAAATAATTACAATTATTTAACATAAATTCTAAAAACGTCATATTTTCTAATACTGAAAGATAGATTCTTCCAATTTTAAATCACAAACCGACTTTAAATATAAACAATAAATCTGTGTCGTAGTGCGCATGCGTAATTTGAAATTCGTGCCGCAATTGAATTGAATATTTGCGATTTGCAAGCATCCAATTCAAACCTGAAGTGCAATTCAAGGTCGTGCCGACTTAAAATTTTATTGTAAACAAATACATTCAACTAGATATGCTTAAAACCCAATTTACAATCCACCAGCAGATTGTGCCCTTACCGAATTGGTTGTAAATGTACCCTTAC